TCTGAGATATTAAGTCAATATTTGGGATATTAAGTCAGTATTTGAGATATTAAGTCATTGTTTTGAGATAATGAGTCATTATTTTTATATATTAAGTCAATATTTTGAAGGTTTCTCATTATTTTAAGGTACTAAGTTGTTATTTTCCTTCCGTCACATTGGCAGTAAAGGGCTTCCATAAAGTTCAGTTTACTGTCATAGACGACTGAAATAAAGCAGAAAATATCCACATTTGAGAATCAAGAGAAATTGTGAATTTTTCCGAAAACAAATTAGTTAAAACAATCAGCAATTAATTGAACAGTTGACAATTAAATCGACTAATGGACTAATCATTGCAGCTGTAGATGTTGTTAATGATCACGAGGCATTTGGTCGTCGTTGTACCGTAAATATCTCCAGTAATAAAGAACGCACACAGAGCTTACGCTATGGAAGAACTGAAACACGTTTTAAAAAATGGTCCCTCTAAAGTGCACTGCAGTGTTTCGGTCAGCTTAATCATAATGTGCTACTGTTAGACGGACTATAACCAATAGATAACAGTCACAGCTGTGTCTCATAACAAACACAGGGGCCATCGACAAACAGAAAAAGGACGACAGAAACGGCAGTTAGGACGGGCAGTTTGGACGCTGCTCAGACTCAGTTGTAGTGTCATAAATACACCGAAACACTACAACGGCTCAATAATTACAAAGACCAGCATTTAGTACAGGTACAAAAAACAATCAGTGACAGCTACCCATTGTTGAGTCCTACCTGTTGTCTTCTAAGATTGCTTTTGTTCACCAAAAGTGCACAAAAATAGCCACAACAGAGCCATGTTTTGTGTCCTCATTTACATCTACAACAAGGGCTGCGTGGGCATTCACAAGTGGACATTTTGGAAAGGGGGGGAACACGCAAAAAGTCTTGACCTAGCAGTTTTGCCGGCGTCACGTGACGGGTCGTCGGCTGTATAGTCTGTTGAACTTGTGTCATAGCTTTTGTTGAGAGATTAACAGAGAACACACAATGTGGAGCTAGGCCCTGCCTGCCAGAGAGAGTCCCGGTAGAGAACCCAGAGGAGGACCCCCTCTGTTTCCAAAAAACCTCAGCTACCGCCAGGATGCTGCTCCTCCATCCGACCAACTGATCTGAATCTCCTTGGGATTTGGCCTCTTCAGCTGCCGCCATCAGAGAGAGAGAGAGAGA